CAGACGTGTGCTCTTCCGATCTCCCCAAAACCCCAAAACCCCATTTGGTAATAATTTAATAGTTCTTGATTAATAATTATTCAGCGAAAAGAATTTATTTAAGTGATTCTTCTTAACAAATATAAATACAAAAAATCAAATAAGATAAATCACTTCAATTTTTCTTTTGATTAAATTCAAACCGATAGGTATAATGCGACAACGCTAGTAATTAACTTAATATATCAATAATTATTAGATAGAAGATCAAACAACAAGCTGAGAATACATAAAGAGTCACCTCTAGAGAAAATACTTCAATAGTCACAAAGCGAAGACTTATCAAAAAAGAAGATAAGAGTAATCGAAGAGTGATGAAGGAGCAGAAAATATAGGTCAAGAAAGAGCCTAAACAGAATGAATCTAAATAGAATGCCCTCAATCATAAAAAGATGACTACCAGAGCTTTGAGATAGGAGTCAAGGTAAAAGCAAAAGGTTGAGAAGGTTAAGGATGAAAAATAAACTTTAGCTTTGAATGCAACTAAAAAACGAAAGGGAAGACCTCCTGGAACAAAAGCTATGAAAACAGGTGTCTCACTGAAATAAACCCAAATTATAGAAAATCATGAAAAAATTGAGGACTCTATTCAGAAAAGTGAGGTAAGTGCTAATGAACTGTCAATCAATTCAGAATCAATGGATTTAAAGCATGATGTTCAAAATTTCAAATATGAATCAGAGTCAAGCAAGATTTATGGAGCTAATGCCGAAATTCAAATTAAAAGAAAAAGAGGTAGACCAAGTTTGAAATCCAAACTTGATAATACACTCTAAGAGCACTTATCAAATAAGGAATTTCATGGAATCGGGTAAAATTAGGAGTAATTATTGGGGTAATAAGAAATTAAATCAAAATCTGAATAGCAAGTTTCTGATCAAATAAAACAAAAGGCTGAAATTGAGGCCACTCAAAACACTCGAATCAAAAATCATAAATTCGAAGAGCCTTTAGGGATCAAAAGAAGAACAAGGGGCTATCATCCCAAGTATGGCTAAGAGCCATTCGCAACTTTGAACTTGGCAACTAAGAAAAGGTAAAGAACTTAATTGGCACCATAAATCAAAGCTGAAAGAGAATCTTCTAATTTTCAACAATAACCACAACAATAGTAACTTATGCAAAGTCAAACCAATAATGAGATAGCTAATTTTCTTATGCAGTCTCCTTCACATTAATAAAATCCATTAAGTTACGATACTTCTAGTTCAGAGAGCTGCAAATCCTCAAATGATGAGTCTTCATCTAGTTCAATGAGCTAAAGCCAAGAGTTTAACGCTGATTTGAAAGCTAACACAGGACATTAAACTATGAATTCCCATATTGCAAGTAACGGATAGAGTAATAAGGTGAATCTTTCCAATTACATTACAAATTTCACTCCTCATTCAATGACTCAGTAAATACTTATTAAGTAGCAACTGCTGAATCCCCATCTATATAAGAGAGGTCCAACAAAATATTAAAAACCCTCTCTTGACTAGATCGGTAGCAATACAAAAGGTCATTGGACCAAAGAGGAAGATCTAATGCTAGCTGATGCAGTTAAGAAAAATGGAGGTAAGAATTGGAAGAAAATTGCAGAGGCACTTCCAGGTAGAACTGATGTCCAATGCCTGCATAGGTGGTAAAAGGTACTTAATCCTAGTCTTGTCAAGGGACCATGGACAGAGGAAGAGGACAGATTAGTATTGCACTTGGTTGAGACTAACGGCCCTCAGAAATGGACTTAAATAGCAGAGCACCTACCTGGAAGAATAGGAAAGCAGTGCAGAGAAAGATGGCATAATCATCTGAATCCAAAAATAAAAAAAATTGGATGGAGTCACGAGGAGGAATGGATTTTATATTTATTCCATAGAAGAACTGGCAATAAATGGGCTGAAATCGCAAAGGTCCTTGACGGTAGAACAGATAATACCATTAAGAATCATTGGAATTCATCTATGAAGAAAAAGATACCAGAAATGAGCAGAGAATATGATATTTATATGAAGGAAAGTCTTTCTCAAAGGGGAATAGTATTCCTTGGGAGCAGTCCAAGCACCTTGGCAAATTGTCCTTAAAGTTACCAGAAGCAAGTAGATGAAATAGAAAGAGATCTCATGCAAAATAAAATTGAATAGGTCAAACAACAGAATAAGATATACTTTGAAAATAAGGCAAGAGAGCTTTTAGATAGGAGAAAGGATGATAATATTAGTTATGCCTCTGCTAATCTCTTATTTAAAAGTCTGAACATGAAAATTGAGAATTTCCTAAGCAGCCCTATGATAGCAGAGGGTGATAAAGCTAGCTAATCTTGCCTAAATAGTGCAAATTAAAAAATAAAAAATGATAGACAAGAGACTAGCAGCCAAAAAGAATAGATAAGTCAGTAAAACTCAAATTACCGAAATACCTTAAGAATAAATATCCCAGGTTAAATTAAGGAAAAAACAATAAATCATAGTTAGTAGAGACTTGATTTTACCTAGCTATAGAAAAAATATTTATACCCAATGGGAAATCAGAATAGAGGAAGAGGAAAGGTAGCAAGAAACTTCACTCCCAAAATTCAGTCTTACCCAACATAAAGTGGCATTAAGAATGTGGCTTTTAAAGACTCGATAACATATATCCAGATACCCCTTAAGTCTGAGCTTTAGAAGATTGGTAACAATTAAAATAATATGAGTCCTTAGGGTAGATTAAACAGGGATCCGTAACCAAGATAAAATAATGCCTCTGCGAAATCACTGAATTCATCTGCTAAGGCTAAAGATTTCTAGAATCAAATGATATCAAACTATGGGAACTGTTCTAACTTTAAAATATGCAATGAAAATGAAGAGTTTTTGAAGTATAATAATTAGTAAACTGAAGAGAAAGATTACAGACAACTGATAATGAGTACGCCTCCTTCAAATCTCTATAAGTCTTCAAAGTATGCAATGATTGGTAATAGCACTCATAATAACATAGCCCTGTTCAGTTGCACCCCCAAAGAGGATAGAAATAGCAAAGTTAACAAGGAGGAACTTAAACAGGCTCCTACTTTCAATCAATCCTAGCTAAACAATGCAGCAAATCAATCTAGAAATAACACTTTGCTCTAAACCCCACCATATCATGGAGGTGGAAGTATATTATCAAAGGGTATATTCTAGTTAGGTTCACCAGCTTTGTATAATAATTCTTGTGAATCCCTTAAGTAGCAATAATAACATCAAATAAGATGCCCTAAACCATAGCAGAGCAATTACTTTTAAAACTAGAATAGTTTTACCAAGATTACTAAATTTAATGCCTCACCTCCTCAGAATAGCTTGAGCTAAAATACTATGATAGGATAGACCACTAGATCAGCTTTCAGTAATATAACTAATACTTATATGAATAACTAGAATCAGACCTCCCCGATGCTCCTAAATACGAATGTGAAAGCAAACATAAACTTTGTACGTGATACTTATGAAAATCAGCAGAATGAATTTGAAAGTCCTAGTAATATGCTAAAATTTACTTCCAAGACAAATAACTATATTTAAGCCACCCAAGCGACAACCTTAAATAGTAGCAGAAAAATAGAGAATAACGAGAATGAGAATATTGATGTGCCTTCCATGTTCTTAAGGACACCAAAAGACAAGGATAAAAATATTAGAGGTGGCAGTATTATAGACTAGTATTATGCTAACTCAGGTGCTAAAATCAGTGTTTCACCTTTCTTCAATTAGAAATGATGATCAATTTTATTCTGCATAATTTAAAATTCTATACTATCATATCATATAATCACTAATAATTAATAAGAGATTTAACTATATCTGGTATATCCATTATCATTCGGGGTTTTGGGGTTTTGGGGTTTTGGGG